ACCTCAGGATCTTTGGACTCAAAGTCAATGGGTGTGGCCAAGTGGAAAACTCCAGTGCAGCCTTTAATGGCTTCATCAAAGCTTCCCTCTTCTGCTAGGTTAGCCTTCCACAGTGACAGCTTGCTCTTTGCACCTGGTATTTCTAGCAAGTGCTTCACCTCCTTCATGTTATCTGTAAGGTGCACATTCATATTAATAGAGTTATGAAAATTTATTTTAGTTTAAAAATGAAAGAATTATTTTATCTTTGAGTAATACTATCATGACACACTTTTACATTCACTTGACACATGTTACAAAGTTAAAGTTGTTATAAAAGAATAAATTTTTGTATTGTTTCAAGACAGAAGAGAGTAAAAAATGAATAAAGATAGTGTCAAATGAATGTAAAAAATTTAGGTATGTTAGATGTGTGTAAGAATAATTAGTCTTTATCTTTTTCTTAAAAAATATTGTGTGCAGAAAGACTTTTCAAAACAAAATCTAAGCCTTATAATCTCAATGTTAAATGCATGCATGTCAATTTGCATAATATGCAATGACAATAAGTAAATACAAAATAAACAAAAGTACACAAAGAAAACGTTAAGAAAAAACAAATTATTGTAGGTCAAATGAAAAATGATATATTTTTAAGGATAAAAAAAATATCTTTAAGCCACTTAAATAATTTTGTAAGTCTAAAACAACTTTAGAAAACAACAAAGTTTTTATAAATAAGTTTATTCAAAAACTAATTTCAATTTCCAGAAAAATTATTTCATTTTTTTTTAATTTTCTTCTCTTATAAAATATTTTAAGAGTCTGTCTTTAGCTTCAATAAGATCTGTTGTTCTCTGTATAATTTCTTATTTAAATATGGTCCTAACAACTTTTAAAAGCTTTTCTTTAATAATCTAAAGTGTCTCTATATGGATCAAAGTAACTTTTCTGTCAACTTCTAACAGAGCAACAAGAACTTTAGTATTATTCACAACTTGTCACGTATAATCAAGTTGACATGGTTTGAACTACCTTTAGATACCCAGATAAAACTTTACAAATTTGAGACTAGAATGAAACCAGAAATTCAAAAGGGTAAACAAAAAGAGGTATTTTAGCCTGTGATATTGATGTTGGAAGATGAAAAGGATGAAGTCAGAGGGTGAGATGATGGATGAAAACGAACCTGGGTCAAGAACAGTGGCTCGAACCGTATAGCCACGCTGGATGAGTCTCATTACAAGCCATGATCCGATGAAACCAGAAGCCCCCGTAACGCAAACGGTTAAGGATTCTGAACCCATTGTTCCAAAAACTATAACGAAACCTTCCCTCTGTGAATGTTGGTGATGAATTCAGAGAACAATGGAAAACATGTTGGGGTGTGGGGAACGTTTTATAGAAGCTGTGTTTCTGACAGGCATAGAAATGATACTGAGTTTTTACCTAACTGGAATAAACTATTCATATCACGTGGAGATATGATGGAATAAAATATGTCGTTTGTTCTTGTAAAATTTAGAAAATCTGAGGTTGGAACAAGTATGTTTTTTGATGGAGTTGTTGGAATTAACGTTATCATTAAAAGCATACGAACG